CCAACTACCCTTGTGCAGTAATGGGGCCAGTGGCAGGAGGAGTAGCATAGCAGTCATCAATTTAGCCCTTATGGCCTAATAGTATTCCTTTTTTGTTTGTTTGTTTAATTGTCGGGGATTCATTACGGGTACAAAGAACCAGTTTACATTGATTACATTTGTTAAGTAAAGTCCCTCCTATAATTGTGTTCCACCCCCAAAAGGTTTGTTACACACCAGGACCTGCCCCCACTCCGTTCTCCCTTCTCTCTGCTCTTCCCGCCCTTACCCTCCCACCCCCGCATCATGTACTAGGTCATTAATTGTCCTTATATCAGAATTGAGTACATAGGATCCTTGCTTCTCCATTTTTGTGATGCTTCACTAAGAATAATATGTTTCAATTCCATCCAGGTTAACAAAACATGTAAAGTCTCCATCTTTTTTAATGGTTGAATAGTATTCCACAGCTTGTTAATCTATTCCTGGGTTGGTGGACATTTAGTCTGTTTCCACATTTTGGCAATTGTAAATTGAGCTGCAATAAATAGTCTAGTGCAAATGTCCTGATGGTAAAAGGATTTTTTTTTTTTCTTCTAGTAATGAGATTGCAGGATCAAATGGGAGGTCTAGTTTGAATTCTTTGAGGGTTCTACATATTTCCTTCCAAAAAAGGTTGTATTCGTTTACAGTCCCACCAGCAGTGTAAAAGTGTTCCCTTCTCTCCACATCCACACTAAGATCAGCTTTGAGATTTTTTCATTTGGGCCATTCTCATTGGGGTTAGATGATATCTTAGGATGGTTTTGATTTGCATTTCTCTAATAATGAGCAATGCATTGATCATTAATGCAATGAGCATCAGTGCAATGCTCCTTGATGTATCGATGAGCATTTTTTCATATGTTTGTTAGCCGTTCGTCTGTCTTCTTTAGAGAAGGTTCTATTCATCTCTCTTGCCCAGTGACATTAGAGATTGTTGGCTCTTTTTATGTTGATTAATTTGAGTTCTTAGTAGATTCTAGTTATCAAGCTTTTGTCTGATTCAAAATATGCACATACCCTTTGCCATTGTGTAGGTTCTCTGTTTTCTTTGGTTGTTGTCTCTTTAGCTGTACAGAAGCCTTTCGGTTTGATTAGGTCTCATTTATTTTTGTTGTTGCAATTGCCACAGGAAGTCTTCTACATAAAGTCTTTCTCCAGGCTGATATCTTCAAGTGTTTTTCCCATGCTTTCTTTGGGGATTTTTATCATTTCATGCCTTAAATTTAGGTCTTTTATCCATCTTGAATCAATTTTTGTGAGTGGAAAAAGGGAGTGGGTCCAGTTTTAGTTTTTTACATGTGGATATCCAGTTCTCCCAGCACCATTTATTGAGTAGGGATACTTTACACCAGTGTATGTTTTTGTTTGGTATATCAAAGATTAGGTGACTATATGATGTTAGGTTCATCTCCTGCTTTTCTATTCAGTTCCAGATGTCTATGTCTCTATTTTTGTGCCAATACTGTGCTGTTTTGTCCACTATGGCCTCGTAGTACAGCCTAAAGTCTGGTAGGCTGATGCCCCTGGCTTTGTTTTTATTACTATTTCCTTAGCTATATGGGTTTCTTTTCTGGTTCCATGAAATATGAAGGATTATTTTTTCCAAGTCATGAAAGTATGATGTTGGTATTTTAATAGGGATGGCATTGAATCTGTAGATTGAATGGGAAGTATAAACATTTTAGCAATGTTGATTCCTCCCAGCCATAAGCATGTATGTTCTTCCATTTGTTAATATCTTCTGCTATTTCTTTTTTAGGATTTTGTAATTTTCTTTATAGCAGTCTTTCACCTCTTTTGTTAGTTATTTTCCTAGATATTTCTTTCTTTCTTTTTTTTGAGGCTACTGTGAAAGGGGTTGTATCCTTAATTAGTTTCTCATCTTGGCTGTTATTGGCGTATACAAAGGCTACTGATTTGTGGACACTGATTTTATATCTTGAGACATTACTGTATTTTTTGATCACTTCCAGGAGTCTTGTGTTTGAGTCTTTGGGGTTATCTAAGTATAAAATCATATTGTCAGCAAAGAGGGAGAATTTAATGGCTTACTAGTTCTGATTGTGCTGGTCAATCTGCAAGGATTAGTTCATTAGAACTCATTTTATTCTTTGGGAATTCAAATATGTTCATTTTGGAAAGACATCTAGAGGACATTTAAAGAACTTAAAATAGACCTGCCATTTGATCCTATAATTCCTCTATGAGGTATATATCCAGAAGACCAAAAATCATACCTCAATAAAGATATTTGTACCAGAATGTTTATTGCAGCCCAATTCATAATTGCTAGGTCATGGAAGAAGCCCAAGAGCCCATCGATCCACGAATGGATCAATAAATTGTGGTCTGTGTACACCATGCAATACTATGCAGCCATTAAGAAAGATGGAGACTTTACCTCTTTCATGTTTACATGGATGGAGCTAGAAAATATTCTTCTTAGCAAAGTATCCCAAGAATGGAAGAAAAAGTATCCAATGTACTCAGCCTTACTATGAAACTAATTTATAGTTTTCATAGGAAAGCTATAACCCAATTTTAGCCCAGGAATATGGGGAGAGGGAAAAGGGAGGGAAGGAGAAGGGAGGGTGATTGGTGGGATCAAGCCTGTGGTTCATCCTATAAGGGTACATGTGAAACTCTCTAAATGTCTTAACACAATAAGAAAAAGACATGAAGGCTATGTTAACCAGTTGGATGAAAGTATTTCAAATTGTATACAGAAACAGTACACTGTACCCCATGATAGTATTAATGTACACTGCTATGATTTAATAAAAAATAAAAATAAAATGAAAATATAAAAGATGAACAAAAATGTATTAATAAAAATAAAAAGGATTTGTTCTATAAAATTTGGATTTAGTCAAAAGGCCACAATTAAGGACCTAGAGTGCCACATGTGGGCTTAAGGCAGCAGGTTCTCCACCTCCATTTTAGATATGTTTAACTCCTCCATAGGAGGAGCTATTAATTTATGTCATATAATGAAAAAAGATACTAATAATTGAATAGCATTGTATAACTGTTAAAATCTAATTTTTTTTTTCTTTTTGTTTTTTGCGACAGAGTCTCATTATGTCACCCTAGATAGAGTGTTGTAGCATCATAGCTCACAGCAACCTGTAACACTTGGGCTTAAGTGATTTTCTTGCCACAGCCTCCCTATTAGCTGGGACTACAGGCACCTGCCACGATGTCAGCCATTTTTTTGTTGTAGTTATCATTGTTTGGCAGGCCTGGGCAGGTTCAAACCCACCAGCCTGGGTATATGTTGCTTGTGCCCTACCCGCTGAGCTATGAGCTCTGCCTCTAATTCCATTTTAGTGTTTTTTAAAAAAGTAGAATTGTGCGGCTTGGTGCCCGTACCTTAGTGGTTATGGTGTCGGCCACATGCACCAAGGGTAGTGGGTTTGAACCCAACCCTGGCCTGCTAAACGACGACAACTGCAACAAAAAAAATAGCCAGGCATTGTGGCAGACGCCTGTAGACCCAACTATTTGGGAGGCTGAGGCAAGAGAATTGCTTAAGCCCAAGAGTTGGAGGTTGCTGTGAGCTGAGATGCCACAGCACTCTACCTAGTGTGACATAGTAAGACTCTGTCTCAAAAAAAAAAAAAAAAAAAAGAATTGTGGAATATCAAATATATACACTGTGTATTATTGTTGCTTTGCAGTGTTCTGCACTGGTGTGAGCTCTCTGCAACAGACATCTGTTGAATGTCTACCCTGTTGCTAGAGATAGAGCCCTACATTTTAAGAGGGGATATATGAAAGAAGGTCTAAAAATACTGCCCTCACATGGGGTGAAGTAATTAGACGTATCTATTAGTATAGGGAACATTAAGGTGGTTTGAAAGCTTCTTTCACATATTTCAGAGTTTACGAGATTGCAGGGGAGGCAGTCTTGTTTATCATTTCTGAAGGCCACCATAGAGCTATTAAGTAGAAGCTACAAAATGGCAGATTGTAACTCAGAATTCAGTAGAATCTTACTACTATGTCAACTATTCTATAGGACAGTGTGTATTCATTCATAGGTAAGTAATGTCTCTGGAGGTATTTAAAACAAAGGTAAAACACATCTGTCTGTCTTCCTACAGTGTACAGAACATTGGACTTTTGGAGGTGAATTGTGAGTAGTAACCAAAGGGCTTGTGAATTTGGATATAAACATTTTGTGAAATCTAACTTTAGGAAAATTAAGAATTAAAGCAAAAACCATAGGTAATACCTAACATACCTGTAAATTTGTCCTCAGTAGAACTCAGATATTTTCACATCACTTTAGAGATGTAGATATCACAAAACATTGTTTGTGATTCTTAAACAACAATTATTTATAAAACTGTAATTTTCCCAGTCACCACTGGATCTTGTTATTTAATGTATTAATAAAGGTTTCACTGTGAGAATGGTCAATGGCACCAAAAAAATTAAGATGCTGTGACCTAATACTTTGTAGAATGCTATTGATCAATTCTTTATAGCGTGAGATTTAAAAGGCTCTTCCAGTGAGTGGATTCTGCTTTATACCTAGGTATTATAAACAATCTCTTCTCCTTTTCTCTGCTCCCCACACATGATGGATGTTATGTGTTCTTATCAAGACAAGTGGTTTAATTCGGGAGTATCATGAATGTGTGTATGTACGTGTACGTGTGTGGGGGGGAGTACAAGAGGTATAGTCTTCAAGATTCTTCAGATGATTTTTTATATTTGTGTGTTTATATGTACATACATATATCTATATTAAAAACAACTGAAAATATAAGTTTAAGCTGCATCTGAGATCTTTACAGAATGTGAAAACAATGCTAATTCTTTCCTATGATTTTTTTTACATAGTATTTTGGGCTGACCTCCAGAATGTGGTGAGAAGGAATAATACTTATTGGGGAAAACTGTCCATTTGTCTTTAATGATGTGCTCATTTTAATTTTCTGAAGCCCATTTTTTCTTTCTTTCATCAGAATCCTGATGTAGTCCATCTAAAAGAAGCAACACCCCCATCTACTTTTACTAGTACTAGTATACGACCTACACGAGTTGTATCTTCAACTTCTGAGGAAGAAGAAGCATTTACGGAGAAATTTCTTAAAATTAATTGCAAATATATTACCAGTGGCAAGGTAATGAATGCCACCTTGGAGAACATTTTTAATCATGCTGTATACATATTACTAACGTTTGACAGTTTGACATTTATATTTGAAGTAATGAACATCAGCAATTGCTCAAATTATTTTAAGAAGAGATAGATGATATTGTTAGTTTAGATTGGTATGGATCTTGAACATAACTTAAGAGTCTGGTGGTCTCTTGTACCTGACAAAGGCAATGAGATATAAACAAATTTACTACAATAAGTTATAGTTAATTTGCTGTTGGTAGAATGTTTCATAAACACATAGAAACACCACTACTGGGCATTGTGTGGAGTACTAACTTTTACAAACGTAGTATAACACATAAATAGGAAGACTTAAATTTCATGTTTTTAAAGTTAAGCCCGGTAAATTCACACAGTGGTATGTGGACTTGGAAGGAGGGTGTATTACCAAATCAAGCATGATTTAAAGGAAAATAAACTATTTTATTTCTAGAATTCATGGCTCTTTATTTTTACAGTTAAAGGATATGGTAGAATGAGAGTTAAAAATGAGATTAAGGAATATTTGGCCCTTGATTTGAAACGATTATAGTTTGTGATTTAGATGCAGAAGAATTATATGTAGTATAAAGCACAAAAGTACCTGAGTTTTAAATCCTGGTGGTTGAGCACAGATTGGTTGGCCTTTGTCAAGTTACTTCTCAATCTGTAAACTGGACATGATAATGACCACCTCAGAGCTATGCTTGTGATGATGAAATAAAATATGCATATAAAGTGTAATACATACAAAGCATTCAGTAAATATTAATGTTAATTGGATCAGCTTCTTATAGAACTTAGTTTGCTTATTTATAAAATAAGACAGTTGAACTCATTTATATTTGTATATTTAACATTTTATAGCTTTTCATGGTGAAATTAAAAGTCATTATTGTATACTTTAAACATCATCTAATCTACCTAATTTTACAGTTGAAGAAATAGGCTTGGAGATTTTTCTTGCCCAGGGTAACATAGCTGGGTACTATCAAGGTTAACTGAAAACAGAGGTGTTTTAAAGAGATATTTTAAAGAAATCACAGTCTTTTCCTTTTATAATAGATTGAATTATCAGTGTATTATTTATTGAATCTGCACTGTACACATGCAGCGATCCTTGGCACCTGTAGTGAGGGAACAACCCAGGTCACAGTATGCAGATCAACGTGAACAGGGTGCATGCACTGTGTGACTTACAATTACTTTTTACCTTACTGAAGTTAATATTTTTCTCATATGAGAGAACTTAGTATTTTACTGGATTTGAAAATTGTAATTCCCAAGTTGATTGTTTTAAGGGGAATCTGCTAAAGGAAATTAACAGGGAAAACTTAGGTTTTAGTAAAAATGTTTAAGTGAGAATGCCACAGTTCTTGAATGTACTTTTTCTATATAAATTTAAGGGGTTAAGCATAATTTGTTAATGTGGGTTGAGTAGTTTTTAAATCACCCAAATAATTACATCGTAGCTATTAAGTCCTTTCTCATCACCCACTCCCTCCCACTCCTTCACCCTTCTGGTTCTCCACATCATTCCACTCTGTATGGCTGTGTGTACATGTTATTTAGCTCCTACTTAGAAGTAAGAACATGCAGTATTTGTCTTTTCATGTCAGACTTGTTTCACTTAAGGTATTTCCTCCAGTTCCATCCATGTTGCAACAAAAGATGTGATTTCATTTATCTTTATGGGTGAATTGAATGCACTATTTATATGTACAATAGATGGCCTAAAATTAAAAGAGAATTGGTAAAAATGGCTAGAATACTTTTGGGGAAATTTTTAACTTGAAGTTAAAACATTATTTTCTTTTTTTAATCTTAGGGCACAGTCAGTGGTGTGCTGCTAGTTACACCAAATAATATAATGTTTGATCCACATAAAACTGATCCTTTGGTTCAAGAGAATGGCTGTGAGGAATACGGCATCATGTGCCCAATGGAAGAGGTGATGTCCGCTGCAATGTACAGAGAAATTCTGGACAGCAAAGTGAAGGAATCCTTACCCATGTAAGAGTGGTGTTTATATTTCTTTCTAATGTTATTGTACCTAGATAGTTGATCCTGCTCCAGTACTATTATTTTTATTAGTTTTATTATAGCTGCTTTTATTTTATCAATAATGAAACAAAAGTGTGTACAATGTTGAAAACATTATCCTTGCACCTAGAATAGTTAGGAGTTACTTTAGATTTATATTTGTATATGGGTTAGAGAACTAGGTATTTGAAAGTAACTGGGGGGGGGGGGCGCTGTGGCTCAAAGGAGTAGGGCGCCAGCCCCATATTGCCAGAGGTGGTGGGTTCAAACCCAGCCCTGGCCAAAAATTGCAAAAAAAGAAAAGAAAAGTAACCTGCAGTGCCTATTTAATTCAATGTTTATCTTCCTTTTTTATTTGGACATAGCATGCAGAATTCTAAATAACCTGTATGAGTAATCATTGTCAAGAATAGTTTGTAAATTTTCCTCGGAAGTGTCTGAAGAGTAGGGTGTGGGGTTTGGGAGGGGCCACATGAGCAAAGACCTGACATTGTTATAGCCAAAATAGCTTTATTTTTTAAAAATGAATTATTTATTTAATTTTAGTCAGAGTTTCACTCTGTTGCCCCAGGATAGAGTGCTCTGGCACCAGCCTAGTTCACAGCAACCTCAAACTCTTGGGTTCAAGTGATCCTCTTGGCTCAGCCCCCTGAGTATCTGAGTTTACCGGTGCTTAACACAGCACCAGGCTAATTTTTCTATTTTTAGTAGAACCTTTACACTCTTTTTCCCCAGAAAGGTATAAAATAATGAGGAAAAAAACCCACAAGTACACAAATGTAAAATGTTAACCTTGGAATATACTGTGTGATATGATAAGATAGGTGTGGGACTATAGCTTATGCATAGCTTTTGGAAGTAGTATGTTAGACCAAAGAAATGACCAGAGTGAAAAAAGGAGGAATGAGAAACCAAAAAGATACAAGGTAGATTATACTATTAGAAATAGAAAGGAAGAAAGTTGGTATCAAAAAGAACTTCCTCATCTCTCCTTACATGACTTGTCAACATTTTAAAACTAGCTTCACTTTAACTGATACCAATATGTATAGCCTTGTATAAGCCCACAGAGATGATGGCTATTTTAAAATTAACTCTGTGGGGCAGAACAACTTACAAAGGAGAAAAAGAGCAGATTATTTTTGTCTCTGAAGAAGACTACATGAGTTGTTAGGATATGTGAGATAGAATGAAATAATTCATTTGAAAAGTCTCCATTATACCTTCCACCCAACAGATATTATTCTACCTTGTAAAGTAATCTTTTGAGAGTACAGAGAATTCTGAGGTGTTACTATTCTTTGCTATTATATTTATAAATCATTGTCAAAAGTCAGTTTCAGCAAATGAAGATTATTGGGGGTGAGTTGAAAGATGATACACAGATGAAAGAGTGAAACTAGATTGAAAGAGAAAGAAGACAATTTTTAAATATATATGTACGTATGTATATGCATATATAATCATTGGTGAGGTTTTCTCTTTGTTCCCCTACTTTTCCATTTGTGTAATGATGCTTTGGAATTCTCTTACTTTGGACAATCTGTAGCTATTTTACAAGGATGCTCTAGGGCTCCTCACCCTTCAAATCATTGTTTTATCATTCATTGTCATTTGGAAAGATGATGTATTTGAGATAAACATTTTTAAAAGTTTCTCCAAAGAGAAATATCTTTAAATCTCACCTGATTATCAGTTGATTAAAAGAAAATTTGGCACCAAATCAGATCATTCAAGCAAATGGTTTTTCAGAGTAATATCATATATGACACAAATGAAGCATCAGATTTGATTGTTTTTCTTCCGTGTTACACTGCTTGGGAAGTTGATTTCAAAGTGATTATTCTGGAACTATATTGAGCAGTAGCAGCATCATTGGCATGCACGTAAGCCTTTCATTAACTTTGAAGGGTGCAGCACTTATCTAAATACATATTCGGTTAGCTGTGTTACCTTTGTCTTTTAACTATTCGCCTTACAGTTTTATTAAATACACAGTTTCTCAAGATTTTTGCCCAGTTCCAAGGTCCTACAGTACAGTTTGAGTGAATCACCAGTAGATGACACTGTTGCATATTTAATAACAAACGAGATGCTTGTGTTTCCTAGTATGAATGAGATACAAAGGTGGCAGATATATGAATTGGACTTCAACTAGTTAATACTAGCAAAAAAATAATTTACTCATCCTAATATCTAAACTCTTTACCTAAACAAGTTCTCTTAGAGCTGTTATTAAGAGTTGCTGTTGCCAGCTTGAAGATTTTCTCTAACTACTTTGCCTTGGTTCTGTTCAGGTTGGTTTTAGCCTTGCATCTGAACCATGTATTTCAGTTTCATCTCTATTTGAATGTAATAAACACTGTGTGTGTAAGTGTATGTGTATGTATGTATGTGACAAATCAGCATAGTTTCACTTTATTTTGGAAATGTAAAATTTTAATTAAAAAATTTCTTTTTGTTTTCCATATTCTATCAATGAGTTAATTTTAGTTTAGAATTATAGCTTTACCAGAACTTATGTCATCAGATTTTCTTCAAGTAGCTTACCTTTAAGGAAATCTTACATTGATATTTTCTAAATCTTAAGCAACTGATGTAAACATTTGACATCTCTGGAATTACTTGGTCTATAGACTTAATTATTTTTGGTCATATATGAATAAGTCAAATTTTTGTGTTCTCTTGAGATACACGCTACATGTCTTTTTAAAAAATCTTTTTAGTGGTACTAATTCACTGTTCAATTTGTATAAAAGAAAATGGTATAATTTTAAAAGTCTAACAATTTTTTATTTTGTTTAATGACAGAGAAATAGATCAGTTATCAGGAAAGGGCTTCTGCCATTCAAAGAAAATGACAGGAAGTAATACTGAGGACATAGACTCCAGAACCCGTGATGCAGGTAATGATAGTGCCAGCACTGCTCCTAGGAGCACTGAGGAGTCACTTTCTGAAGATGTGTTCACAGAGTCAGAACTCTCCCCTATACGAGAGGAGCTTATCTCTTCAGATGAGCTGCGACAAGATAAATCTTCCGGCGCGTCATCAGAATCGGTGCAGACTGTCAGTCAGACTGAAACAGAACGTTTGACAATCAAGTCAGGGTCTCCTAGTACTCCTGGTCATTTAAAATCTGATGCTGAACATTCTACAAATGAAATTGAGACTTTATCTCATAAAACTGATTTAAGTAATCTTGGAGTGACCACTAATGAAAGAGAGCAGATTATAGATAACTTTCAAGAGATATCAGGCCCTAAAGAACAAAGCTCAAGTGTACAAGGTAATGCAGATCAGGATTTTCTTCTTGGTGAGAACTCCCTACACCATGAGGAGAGTGAAAACCAAAATACCTCCTGTGAGGAAACAGCAGAACTGAAACAAAAGCAGACTGTTAGCAAAGGAAAGCAAGGAAAGGACCAAAGTCGGGACTCAGAGACAGAGGTAGAAGAGCTAAGAAAACTCTGGAAAACCCATACTATGCAGCAAACTAAACAACAAAGGGAAAATATGCAACAGGTGTCACAAAAAGACATTAAGCATAAAATCGCATCTGCGGATGGACATGTAGAAGGTAAGTAAGTGTTCAGAGTATATAAAGTTAGTTGGTATTACTGCATTTCGTGTCCCTCTTTGCTCACTGATTGAAAAACTGACGTATCTGAGGCCAGTTTGGAGGAAAAACAAGTGTCTTTATAGGTATTCTGAGGACAAGAATATACACTCTCTGATGTCTACTATCTTTTCTTATACTGTAGGTAGATTGCATACGTAATAAGCATCTAAACATATTCAGTCTGTCTTTACTGCATTCTGTTTAAACAACTGACTTCTTGAAAGTGCTGGCAAGCTATGTAATAGCTTTGATTATTCCTTTTTCTCTTTTAGTCTTTGTTAGGTTATTTATTAAAAACATCTTTTTTAATTGCACATATAATATTTTAATTGCCAAAGTTGTAATCCCATATTTTTTAAAATGCAGTTAGATACGAAAATAATTTATGGAATTTCTCCCCAAATCCCTAAGTTCCATTATCTGATTAAATGGTTTTCCTTTAAAAGTCAGAACTCAGGGAAAATAAAAATACTATTTTGTCTTTCAGTTTTATTTTTAAGTACTACTTCTGAAAATTATAGTTTGTCTTTTATTTTTAATATACCGTGCTTCTGCTTAATACATTATGAGTTGAATGAAGTATAACTTGTTTAGCTAACATTTCTTTTATTAATTCTGTTGGAATGTTTATCCAATTCACAAGTGAATATTTTTCATTCAAATTTTTTTTACTGTAGTAAAATGTGCACAAAATTTATGATTTCAACTATTTTTTAATTTGGTAAAGTATAACAAAACTTTCGCTTGAACTGTTTTAATTTAAGTCTATAATTTAGTGGCATTATTATGCGACCACCACTACCATCCTTCTCCAGAACTTTTTCCCTCTTCTCAAATTGAAATCCTGGACTCCTTAAACAAACAACTTGCCACCCTTCCTTCCCCATAGCCCCTGGCAGTTGACATTCACCTTTCTGTCTCTAAATTTAACTACTTATAGTTACTTCATTTGCATGGAGTCTTATCATAATTGTCCATTTGTGTGTGGCTTATTAAATTTAGCATGGCATCTTCAAGGTTCATCAATTTTGTAGTCCATGTCAGAGTATCTTACCTTTTTTTTAAGGGTGAGTAATATTCTTTTATATGTATATACCACATTTTGTTTTTCCATTCGTTTGTTGATGGATCTTTCAGTTGTTTTCACCTTTCAGCTATTTTGAATAATGCTGCTTTGAGCATTAGTGTACAAATACCTTTTGGAATTTGTCCTTTGAATTTGGGGGGCTATATACCTAGAAATGAAATTGCTGGATGATATGGTAAGTCGATGTTTGACCTCTTGAATAACTGTCTTACTGTTTACCATAGTTACTACACCAGCAATGAACAAAGATTTGGTTAGGTGTTTAATCCTTTGTGTCATCCATTTGAGATACCTTGAAGTCCTAAGAATTTTATTCAGTGGATGTTTAAGGATTTTTTTATTTGAAACAAATCCTACAAAAAATTGAATATTTTTCTACTTGGGAGGCTGAGGCAAGAGAATCCCTTAAGCCTAAGAGTTTGAGGTTGCTGTGAGCTGCGACGTCACAGCACTCTACCGAGGGCAAAATAAAGTCTGTCTCAAAAAAAAAAGATTGAATATTTCTTTTTCTGTAATGTTTTATTTTTATTCAGAACTAATGAATTTTCATTTAAGACCATTTGACAAACGTAGGAAGTTTCTAGAAAATTTATAAAATTACCTGGAATTCATCACCCAGAGATGACCACTGTTAATTAACATTTGGTATATTTGTCTTTCTTACAGATCTCTAGGGGTATGAGTATGTGTATATATTAATACAAGCACATATGTATGTTTATAATTTGGTCTTATTTGTGTCATGACAGATAGATTTTTGTTGTTGTTGTTGTTGTTGTTGTTGTTGTTGAGACAGAGTCTCAAGTTGTTGTCCTAGGTAGAGTGCTATGGTGTCACAACTCACAGCAACCTCCAACTCTTGGGCTCAAGTGGTTCTCTTGCCTCAGCCTCCCAAATAGCTGGGACTACAGGCACCCGCCACAACACCCAGCTACTTTTTGGTTCTAGTTGTCGTTGTTTGGCAGGCCTGGGCTAGGTTCAAAACCACCAGCTCTGGTGTATGTGGTTGGTGCCCTAGCTGCTTGAGCTATAGGCACCGAGCTGATATTTTTTTTTTAAATATACATTCAGGATTATTCTACATGTAGTTTTGTACTCTGTGTGTTGCATTTAACATTTTATATCATGAACATTTTCCCATGTCATTGCAGTTCTTTGAAAACGTGGTTTTAATGGCTCCCAAATTTATTTAACCATTTACATATTGTTAAGGCAATCAATTGTTATTAATAATTCATATGTTAAAACATCTCCTTGATGATATAAAGAGTGATGGTGTGAATGTCTTTATTTAAATATCTTTGACTACATTTGTTGGTTGTCTTATATTTTGAAACCCTTGAAAAAGATAAAATGATGGATTCTATTTAACCCAGAAGTGTGGCAGACTAATTTTAATAGGTTTGTTGGGGATTCAGGAGGAGTAATGGGGATAGGGAAGGTCCTATAGGGACTAATGGAGATAGGGAAGGTCCTCTAAAAGGAGAGAAATTGATGGATATTTTTATATAGATATCTCTAATTTGTTGCCATTGGTTTTTTGTTTTGGGGGAGTTTTTTTTTTTTGGTTTGGAATGAAAATTAGTTTTAAGTAATTTTAAGTAACTTGATATTCATAAGGTCTTTATGACTTTGTAATATAGTAAAATGTACAATAACGATAAAAATGTAGAATATAATTGTGGGAAGAACAGTGAAAGTTCCCCCTTTTAACCACATGCAAATAGTAGGTATCACATAGATTATGTTCTTTGCATAATACTACACAGGAAAAAAAGCCATGGCTAGTTTGTGCATCACTAGGCAAGTTTTGAGACAGACTGTGTATGGTCCATTATTTCACTTGCAAGCAACACAGTTGACAGCGTCCTGTGGTGTAGGTTTCAGCCTGCTCATCTTATCAGTGTTGCTGGGAGGCTTATTTGTTTCCATCTGCATGGATTTTACATTTGTTGATATTTTTGTGTATCTCAAAGCTTTCATGATGATCCACGTACCCAGATCTCCTGACTGTAACTAAGTGCTCTTTTTTCCACAGCTGTGCTACCTTTGCAGCTAGTTAATGTCCTGAAATCACCCATATTGTCAGACCCACAATGTATTCTTTATTAGCATCTCTGGTTGAGTTATGAAATAATTCATTATCAATTAACTGTTCAAACAAGTGGCTGAATTTAGTATATTATTGACTGTTTTATCATACTTTTGAATGCATATAAAAGCTTCAGAAACTTCATTGAATTTTTGTCTATAATAACCATGTTAAAGTATTCCTTTAAACATTCTACAAAGGCCTACCTACCTTTGATCCAGCAATCCCACTACTGGGTATTTAAAAAACGTCATTTTATCAAAAAGATACTTGTATGTTCACTGCAGTACAATTTACAATTGCAAAGATGTGGAATCAGCTCAAGTGCCCATCATTTCATGAGTGGATTAATAAAATGTAGTATATGTATGCCATGGAGTACAGAAAAAAATACTCAGCCTTAAAAACAAAATGAATTAATACCTTTTGTAACAATCTGGATGGAACTGGAGACATTTTTCTTAGTGAAGTATTGTAAAAATGGAAAAACAAACACTACATGTACTTACTAGCTAACAGAACAGCACTCATGTGCACAGATGGAAGTAAAACTCAAGAAAAACCAAGCAGGTGGGATGGGGGAGGATGAGATGCTTGAAATCATACCTAACAGGTACATAACACACTTTCTCGGTGATGGGCACTCTATAACTTTGTCTCAAGCAGTACAAAAAGAATCATGTAACCAACACATTTGTATCCTTATAGTAATTTGAAATAAAAAAAATTCTAAAAGTTATTTAGATGTCACAGACTGACAGACAATATGCAGAAAATTATATATGTAGCATGTATATTATGCTACAATTATTATGGTTGTTAACAAAAATTTAGCAAAAAAATTTCTGAAGCTTTTATATTTTTTTCCTAACATCCTTAGGCATAATTTCAGTTCATTAAATTGACTCTCCTGCTAACTTTAGTCTGGCTGTATCTATGACTTTAGTTATGATGAAAAAAAAGTACAGGTTACTTATGGGACTTGACCAGGGTACCAGTAAAGTGAGGTGTTATTCTATAATCATTTGTCAGAATTTTGGAGGTAAAATTACCTAATCTAAATTAAAGCATGGTGTATGAGAATTGGATAAAAACTGTTTGCATCTCAATTTAGGTTCTGTGCTTTTAAAAGAAAAGAGAAGGCATCGATTACATAAGTTCTTGTGTCTCAGAGTTGGAAAGCCAATGAGGAAAACATTTGTCTCTCAAGCAAGTGCCACAATGCAGCAATATGCACAGAGGGATAAGAAACATGAGTATTGGTTTGCTGTGCCACAAGAAAGGTAAAGAGTAAATAAATAAAAATAAAGCTTGACAACATTACAGAGATTCTGGGAACGTAATTTATGTTGTGCGTTACAGTGCCAATAACAGTACTTTGAAACATAGTTCATGATTAAAATTGACATTAAATCTGTTGGAAATAATTTAGTTCCTAATCTTTTACTCGAATTTACTACATTTTTAATTATGTTTCCTTTTGTAGTTACCCTTTGCTGCACAGATATTATCTCTTCTAAGATCATGCTATGCCATGTTTCCTTTGAAAAATACTGCTGAACAAAGGTACTCAGTGTCTGTACTCAAGACATACAGAAATCCAAGAGAAAATTGTCTAACCACAACTACATGGTTCCAAGTGTTAATTACATGCAGAAAAAAAATCTTATCATTCCAATTATTACTAATATACAATTGATCAAAGAAACATAAATTATTAGTTGTCATCATTGCTATTCCCCACAAGTAAAATATTATAGGAAATGCATATCTTGGGTTATTTTCTTTTTATTTTTTTGAGGGAAAGTCTCACTTTGTTGCCCAGGCTAGAGTGCCCTGGCATTAGCCTAGCTCATAGCAAACTCAGACTCCTAGGCTCAAGCAATCCTTCTGCCTCAGCCTCTCGAGTAGCTGGATCCATAGGCTCCTGCCACTACACCCAGCTAATTTTTCTGCTTTTCAAAGAAATGGGGTCTTATTCTTGGTCAGGCTTATCTCAAACTATTTGAACTCAAGGTATCCTCCTGCCTTGCCTTCCCGGAGTGCTAGGATTACAGATGTAAGCCATTGTTCCCAGCATATCTTAAGGAGGGATGGGCCTTTTCCCACAGTTAGTTTATACATCCATTGCTGAATATTGTTCATTGAAAGGATGAGAGGATTCAGCATTACTTCTGCCCCCTCCTTTCTTATAATTTTGTAAGTACAAGCAGCTTTATTTATATAAAAGTTAGTGAGACTGAAGAGGTTTATATTATAATGTCACTCAGTTCTATAAACGTGTTTCTCTAAATAATTCCTAAAAAATACTTAATCATCTTTCATGAAAATTATTGTTAGCGATCATCAGCTAACTGCTTCAGTTTTGTGGAAATCAATGAATTAGACACCACCTAATGTGAAAGGACATATTGCCAAGTGGTTATAAGCATTTCTTGTTTCTGCACAAATCTTGGATTATCTAGAAGTAGTGTACTTTAAGTCAAGTTCCATTGTAAACGTATGAATTAGTGACAGTATGCCCATATTTTATAAGTTAGGAAAAGTACTTTATTAAAAGGATAGGGAATTTGTAAGGTATCTTAATTGTATGTTTTTAGACACATTAGTATCAGCAAAGAGTAACATATGAAAGTTGAAGATAGAGAAATTGATTCCTTTAGTACTGTCTTCAGTGTGCATGTGCCTCTTAGAAAGTCTTTATATGTTACTTGGAAGACTACTGCTTTCAGGGATAAAATGATGAAGTGCTTCTCTCTCCTCCTCCCACTCCACCAAATATAGTTGTGTCCCTTCAGCAAAATGGGATTAATTTAAAAGTATGCTATGATTTGCATAATTCATGAACCTGAAAGGGACAGAGCCAGATATTCAAATTTTCCAGTGATGTTGAAATGACTAAAATGAAAAATGTACTGTATTTAGTTAAAACTAATATGAATACTTAGGTTCCTCCCATTGTTTTTCTTGGCTTTATTTTAATTTGTACATGAAATTTTTAATTTTATCTCTGTACTTTGATTAATGTTTATTAAAAATTAGTATTATTAAGCTTCTGGCCTTTATTATATGCATGTAAAATGAAAAATGAGCTAAAGATGAAATTTAGCATCCTTTTCATATGTTAGCTGCCATACAGTTTAAAAAATTATTAGATTGAAAATATAATGTCCAGAACCAGTATTACTGATTGGTAGATGTTAGGTGAGACTTCTATAGACTTTTTCAATAACTCATTTAATTAAAGCAAATAAAGCATAGATATTTGAAATGTGTGTTTGACTCTTGAATCTGTTTATCAGGGAATGCAAACTGTCTTTACTATAGTAAACAAAATGTTGAAAAGGGGAACCAGAGTTTTTTTTGTTTTTTTTGGTTTTTTTTTGAGACAGAGTCTCAAGCTGTCACCTTGGGTAGAGTGCTGTGATGTAACAGCTCACAGCAACCTTCAACTCTTGGGCTTAAGCGATTCTCTTGCCTCAGCCTCCCAAGTAGCTGGAACTACAGGCGCCCGCCACAATGCCCGGCTATTTTTGTTGTTGTCATTGTTGTTTGGCAGACCCAGGCTGGATTCAAGCCTCCAATTCTGGTGTATGTGGCTGGCGTCCTAGCCGCTTGAGCTACAAGCACTCATGGAAACAGAGATTTATAGATCATTTATCTGTGAACACCATCCAGGTCCCATCTGGCATTCCTGGTATCATTTAAAAGTTAAGGACAGAGCCAGGTGCACTGGGAGGCCCAGGTGGGTGGATTACCTGAGCTCATGGGTTCGAGACTAGCCTGAGCGAGAGTGAGACCTTGTCTCTAAAAATAGTGGGTGTGGTGGCAGGTACCTGTAGCCTCCAGCTACTTGGGAGGCTGAGGCAAAAGAATAGCTTGAGTCCAAGAGTTTCAGGTTGCTGTGAGCTATGACAGCATGACACTCTAACTAAGGGCAACAAATTAAGACTCTGTCTCAAAAAAAAAGACATTAAATTTCAATTAACTTAGAAAAATTCTGTATAATGTTCAGGTTTCAAAATAGGGAATTAGTAAATTGTTTACTTGTATTTTAGATTATTAGATTATTGAGCCAATGAGGTCAAAATTGTCTAATTTCCTTTTCTATCATTAGTGTCTTTAGAAAAGAAAAACATTACTATTTATAGAGCTGAACAAGTCAAAATCATGCCAAGGAAAATCTTAATAATGTTTTAAAACCAACTTGACAAAACATGCCAAATAAATTTTAAGTTAATGGCTTCCTGATAGTGGGCGTTATCTTTTATATAAAGCATTGTATATTTTGTGTATATTTTAAGTCTTTAAATTTTATCAAGATATTTTACAAGTATAATTTTGTAATTTTGACAGCACAGAATTCTAGGTCTACTAATAGTCACTTCTTCTAACAGGACAGATCACTTGTATGCCTTCTTCATTCAGTGGAGTCCAGAAATATATGCAGAAGATACTGGTGAATGTACCAGAGAGCCTGGATTTATAATAGTAAAAAAGATTGAGGAGTCTGAAACAAATGAGGATTCTAGTGATCAAGCAGCAGCCAGAGAATGGGAGGTAAGAACAAAAGTGTGAATTTCATTCATCTTTTTCCGTTTCTTATGCATCTATAGCTTTGTGGTAGTTTAAAATGCAAGTGGCACAAAAGAAAAAATTTTTTAAAGGTTTAGGTTCACTGTCCATATGTATATGTGGGTATTGAATAAGGCGGAGTGGTAACTTTAGTTTAATATAATATTTGGCATTCTTTTTTTGCTTTACACTACTGGAAAAGCAACCCATTAGCAATAAAATAAAATGACTTTTATTGAGTATATTTTAGAATATTTAGTTTAGAAAAAAGTAACTTATCAAAGAAGGAAATGATATTAATTACTATTATATCAATTTTTATAAACCATTGATTTTAGATCTGATTTAATTTTATCTCCTATGTTGAAGGATAATTCACCCCATCCTTGCAAATTAGCACTCCTTTCTAACCTCTAGACATAAGCATTATCTTGACTTGTATTTAGCAGTAATAACCTCTTCTTGATGCATTAGAAAATAATAGAGCAGATGCTAAAATGTGATAATAAATGTAATCAAATTTTGTTATTCATTTGGTGTTAATGTTTGTGGTCGTTAATGTGATATGAATTTATTGTGCCTGCACTTGACATGTATAAGATTGAAAGTATACATGGCATGTCTTGTGTTTAAAGCGCACTTTGAATGTGTCTAATTTTATTCTGTGTAGTTCATACACCATCACTTTCTACTGTAACTCCAAAGTAGTGGAGGGAAAGAAGTAACATATATCTAGTATTATTTCAGGTTCTTTTCATTTCAACCAATGTTATTAATCTTTATACCAGCTATATTCATAATAGCCCCAAACTGGAAGTGCCCACCAGCAGGAGAATAAATGGATACGTTTTGGAATATTTATAAAATTTCAAATAATATAGTAGAAAAGATCTACTAATATATGTAACAACTTGGATGAATCTCACAAATAATATTCTGACTAAAAGAAGCCAGATAGAAGAGCATACACTGTGTAATTTCATTGACATGCAGTTCAAAAGGGTAAAATTAATTAGAAATCCATCAGGCTAGCAGTTTCTAGGGGTTAAGGGAGTGGCTGAGGGGCAGCAGGAATATACAGTACTGAAAATGTTCTCCATTTCAGTCTGGGTGGTGGTGGTTATAAGGTTCGTAAACAAAACAAAACAACCCTAAGCTGTATTTTTAAGATTAGCTTTACTGAACATTTAGATGGTCAAAGACACAGACATGTACTAAGGCAACAGCAGTTGAAGGCAGAGTAGAAGAGAATAAAGTTAGAGGAAAAAAAGTAACTAAGCAGGATTTAGTGACAACTAGGTAAACATGAAGTTTCTAGCTTGGGTGGCAATGAGGGTTATGTTATTTTCACTCAAGAAAGAGAATTGAGAGCTTTCTCTCCATTGGGGTTGAGGCACTTAATTTTAGAAATAGGAGATGACTATTTTGATTCAAAGGAATTGCCTAAGTTTCTGTGGAACATTCTGTAGGTTATAATTTCTAACAGAAAAACAGATGTCTCCATACTTGTCCTTCAACTGGAAGAGGTTTAATTAAAAAGAAAATGGAAAAAAATTTAATTTTCAAAATTTTTTGCTACATTATCTAGAAACAGTTCTGCACTAATAATGGTAGCTGCTAACCATATGTGAGTATCAAATACTTGAAATGTAGCTAATGCTTCTAGGAAATGAATTTTTAGTTTTAATGAATTTAAATTAAAAAATAATAACTTGATACAGTTACATGACTTGGATAACTTCTATTAATAAATGTTTAGAACAACTTTAAATATATGATCTACTTTTTCAACTATAAGTTTTGTGAACTCTAAATATGATCTTAATCTAAGTCTAAATAAGGCCAGGTTATTTCCTATGAAAACTTGCTGTCTGAATTGAGATGTATTGTAGTACAAAATAATGTGTTTCTGGGCAGCGCCTATGGCTCAAAAGAGTAGGGCGCTGGCCCCGTATGTGGGACGTGGCGGGTTCAAACCCAACCCTGGCCAAAAACTGCAACTAAAAATAATAATAATAATAATAATAATAATAATAATGATGTGCTTCCTATAAATCCAGTAGCCACTAGCCACATATAATAATTCAGCATTTCAAACATGGCCAGCACATGGCTCATGCCTATAATCCTAATGCTCTGGGAAGCCAAGGATCCCTCAAGCTCCAGAGTTTGAAACCAGCCTAAGCCAGAGTGAGACCCTGTCTCTACTAAAAATAGAAGAATTAGTTGGGCACTGTGGCAGGTACTTCGTAGTTTCAGCAACGTAGGAGGCTGAGGCAGGATCCCTTGAACTCAGGAGTTTGAGGTTGTTCTGAGCAAGGCTGACACCAGGGTATTCTAGCCTGGGGCAATAGAGTGAGTGAGGCTCTATCAAACAGACAAATGTGGCTGGTCCAAATAGAGATTGCTGTAATAAAAAGTACACATTAGATTTTAATAAGTTAGAATTGAAAGCAAAAGAATGTAAACATTTTATTATTAATATTTTTATATCAGTGTTGAAATGATAATATTTTGAATATGTTAGGTTAAATAAACTCTTATTAAAATTAATTTCACTTTTTCAAATGTGGCTATTAGAAAATGTATGTTATTGTAAATCATTCCTGTACAGTGTGGGTCTAGTGCCTGATGGACATTAAATACCTAAAAAATATTTGTTAAACTAATGAATACTTGTCTAAGTGAAAGAGTAATTTTAAATGTTAAAATAATATTTTTTACAAAGGAATTTGGCTAAATCCCTTACAAAAACAGGAGTACTTTAAAATGTAAAGTGACATTTAAAAAAAAAAATTTGGTTTTACCTAGAGGTAGAGAACAGATGACCTAGAATTTAGTATGAACTTAATGGTTACCAATTTGGACATCAGTGTCCTTGATTAAGTTTAACTGCTGTACTAATTTATTCTGCTTCAGTGATAGTTAGATCTTTATTATCCCCCACTGTTATTCAAGAAGAAATAATATTGTTAGCCAGACATGTATACATTGATGGCCAGGAGGCAGAGATTTGTCAATTTCATGCACTACTATATTTTTGAAGCTAAGAATAGTGCAGGCATTTTGTTCATTCTCAATAAATATTTATTGGTTTCTTCTTTTAAGATTGGAAAAAGTCCTTATGTTAGTTGCAGTAAATATTTTATCCTAAAACCATAGACTTTGGAAATTGGAATTAACTAACAATCCACCCTCTTTCTTATTTTACATTTACACTATTCTTTGTTGTGCTTTAACTTATTCAGTGATAGGAAATTTATTACTTCAAAAGGCAATACTTTTAGTTTTAGGAAAGCTCTGTTGCAAAGATTTTTGTTACAGCAAGTTTGAGAAAGCATATCTTTGCAAATATGATTCACTTGTCTTTATTCTTCCTGTCAGTACACATCAATAACAACAACGGAAATTCTCTATATATTGTAATAACATGAAAATATTTGTTGTCTTCCCTTTAATTTTCCAGCTATATAAATTTATGTGTTCTTTTCAGATTTTATATTATTCTTACCATTAACCTAAAATGTGTCAAAGCATTCATAAATGCCACAAATTATTAAAATATACATTTGAGATAGCAAAAAAATTCTATAGTATAATATTTAAAATAATTTTAATTCCAAAATATGCAAATTGAAACTAGTCCTATTGAAGATAATTAGAAAACCCTGGACTTTAAGAATTAGAAGTGATGAATAAAGCAAGGAGGAAAGAGGTTTGTGCAGTGAATTCCAGAGAGAGGGGAGACCAGCACAAACCTGTGTTTACTAAGAAAGAGAAAATTTAGCTAAATATAAAGTGGTCAGGACTAATAATAAATCCTATGTGTTGGGAGAAAGGATTTGAGAATGCTATCTATATTACTCAAGACGTGTAAAACATTAATTTTACTCTCTGTAATGTCTCTGTGGAGCTCTGTCTGAATTAACTGCATCCACATGGCAGCGATGGATGAGAAGCCATGTTTTTAGAAAATCAAGTCACAAAATGATTAAAGAAACTTTCTCCCTCCAAATTTGTGTTTTTGGTGTAACACTCAAAAGAAATATGAATTATGAGTTCTTCTGCTACTTGAGATTTAATACCCTTACCTTGCAACTGAGAAGGAGCTTCTTTTATGATTTCTGCCAGTATTCAACAAGAAGTCAGTTAATAGATCATGTGTAGTGAGGATACTACTGATTAATCATGGCTGTGAAAACAGAGATGACTCCAGAAGACAATCACCATATAGTAGTGAAAAACCAAATCCAGCAATGGTATAATATGATAAATTATATGGCCTAATGTTATGCTAAGATTAGCTTAAATATTTAAATTTGTATAATTAAAATAGAGAACATTAGAGATTAAACTCAGGAAACTGTAATAAATGATTTTAAAAACTGTGTGAGTCAGAAAACAGATTATAAAATATTTGGAATAATTGTACAGAGGTTTATGTAATAAGCAGTGAACACCGTTACAGTTTACACTTAAATAACCTAAGATTTGATTAGCTGACTGAGAAAATGTGAGTAATGTCAACTAAAAAACAACAAATTGTCTCAGAAACCAAAAATCAAATGAAATGTCTTTTTGTCAATAGTTTATCGAGGGTGAGAACCAGGGGTAAACCAAAGCAAATTCTTCTAACACCAGTCATTTTAAAATGAAAAACATTCGGAACACACATGGTATTTTTCATTTTAGAAAATCTGCCTGGAAATTATGACAGGTTTTCTAAATGGTGCTCTGAGTATTACCCCCAAATTATACAGTATTGTCTATGGTTGTGTTGAGAGACCCCCTGATGAGATCGTGGGTGTGACCCCCTGAGATGTGCTGGTGGGGGACGGCAGGAGGGAGATTTTAGGATAAGTGTGGTGGGGCTGAATTGGAGGAATAAGGAGGGGGATGGTTGGTACATGGGGGAGGAAGAGTGTGCTGCTGTGTCCTGTGTGTGCACATGCTGGAATGTGGAGGAGGAAGGGGGGCGGTGAGGG